CAAAAAAGTAAGAACAGAACAAAGTACAAAACTATGGGGTTTGATTATGGTGTGTTGCATTGGAAATATATGGAAATTCAATTTTTGAAGGAATTCCAAATACCCTATTAATGTGGAACAGAACGATAAAAAAAATCAGACGGGTCCCCTGACTCTGGAGAAAAGTTAGTTCTCGACCATCTTTATAAGAGATCTGGTGTTGATAGAAATATTAAGATGTGCCAAGTTTGAATGGAATCGGAGGTTAATTTCGCGTTTTAGGAGCTTCATTGATATTCAAAATATGGACCCTTTGTGGGGGAGGCACCAGAAGGAGTAGACGGATATATCCCATCTTCACAGCAGATCTAGTGTTAGTGGAAATAATGGGATGTCTGAAATATGAAGAGGAAAGAATGCTTATTTCAAAACCTTTGTGAGGGAGGTACCAGAAGAAATGATCCGATCTCTCCCATCTTTATAACAAATCTTGTATTGATGGAAATATTGAGATGTGCCAAGTTTGGATGTTAATTACGTGTGTTATGAGCTTCAAGAATATTCAAAATGTTGACCCTTTGTGGGGAAGGTACCAGAGGGAGTGGACCGATATATCCGATCATCACACCAGACCTTGGGCTAATAAAAATATTGTGATATTTGAAATATGAAGAGGACAGGATGCTTATTTCGGATTTTATGGTCGTTTTGGTTATTCGAAAATTTGACCCTTTGTGGGAGAGGTACCAGAAGAAATGGTCCGATCTCTACTATCCTTATAACAGATCTTGTGTTAATGGAAATATTGAGATGTACCAATTCTGAATGGAATGAGATGTTAATTTCACGTTTCAGGGGCTTCATGGATATTCACAATTTTGACACTTTGTGGGGGAGGTAGCAGAAGTAGTGGTCCGATATATCCCATTTTCACAGAATATCTTGTGTTAGTAGAAATAACGGGATGTGTGAAATAGGAAGAGGACAGGATGCTTATTTTGGATTTTATGATCATTTTTTGTGATTCAAAACTTTGACCCTTTGTGGGGGAGGTACCAGAAGGAGTGGATCGATATATCCCATCTTGACAGCAGATCTTGTGTTAGTAGAAATAATGGGATGTGCGAAATATGAAGAAAACCGGATGCTTATTTCGGATTTTATAATCGCTTTGGTTATTCAAAATTTTGACCCTTTGTAGGGGAGGTACCAGAAGGAATGGTCCGATCTCTACCATCTTTATAACAGATCTTTTGTTGATAGAAATATTAAGATTTGCCAAGTTTGGATGGAATCGAATGTTAATTCCACACCTTATGAGCTTAATGGATATTCAAAGTTTTGACCCTTTGCGGAGTAGGTACCAGAAGTTGTGGACCAATATATTCCATCTTCACACCAGACCTTGGGTTAATAAAAATATTGTGATGTGGATAATTTAAAGACAATCGGACACTTACATCACATGTTATAAGAGTTATAATTATTTAAAATTTTGACCCTTTGTGGGGGAGGACAGTTTTCGCACCTGACCTAGAACTGATTCAAATATTAGAATTTGCAAAGTTGAAGCAAAATCGGATTATCTTCTCTCTTCCTGTGCAGTAAATTATTTTCTTTGAAAATTTCTTTCTTCTTTTGTGGTGGAGGTAGCAGAAGGAGTGAACTGATATTGCCCATCTCCCAACTCGATCTAAGTTTGACAATAATATTGCGATATAACAAGTTTGGATCAAATCGGATACTCCCTTCGAGAGTTATTGTGCGCACCAGGCAGACAGACAGACGGACATCGCTAGATCGACTCCAAGTGTCCTGAAAAGGATTTGGCCCAAAGAGACCTAGGTCTAAAACCATTATTTCGATGAGGCACGTTTTGGCCGTATCATGTTCACATAGTCCTCAGTAGTAAGGAACACCGTTGTTTCATCTTGAGGACAGATATCTGATACTGCAGTGACCAGTTACTGCAGACTTATTAAGTGATAGAAAGGAGCTTGTTCTTCTCCTCGATATTACCGTTCAGTTGGCCTTAGATACTCTGCAACCGATTTCAAAGTGCCAGTCTTCATCAGCCACTTCATCCCCCACTATGTCGTGGAACCCAACGAAGCCTAATCAGTCCAAGTGTTTCAAGGATGGCTTTCTTCTATATGCCCACCCTAGCCATATGGCTAAAAATGTTTCACATCAATTCGCGTATGTATTTATCTATTGATCTAGGCATAAATGGAACTTTCCAAAATTTATCTTCGATTAAACACTGAAATTACATCCATTATGTCTGATAAGACGCCTAACCAATGGCAAAAAGTGTCGCATAATGGTTGATGTATGGGACTTCGTCAGATTCCACTTTCCAACTTCATCTCCTTAGGTCATTAAAAAGCTCAACTTGAAAGAGAAAATTATTAAATAAATATCAACAGATATTTTAAATTTGTTACCTTTCCTATGGGTTAGAGAATCTAAGGCACTTCCTCACTTCATGGTTTCTATTTAAACTATATTTTCTTCTAATAACTGGTTTTCGATAAAGACCCGTCCCCTCCTTGTCAAAGTAAGGCCACCCAAATTCGCGTTAAATAAACTCTAGCCCCAATCTCGAAAATATTGATTACTTTACAAATATTTGAGGAGATAGAAAGTGTAATCTGAGCTGTTACCGTTTTACATCCAAACATCTAGAAGCAGCAACTACTTTAAAATATCTCCATGTTCCCTTCAAAAATCGATGTCAACAATATGAATTATGTATTTAGATTAGAATTTTTGTAAAAGTCAATAAATAATCACGTTGCCAAACATTGGTATTCTCTCGCCAAGTCACTGATAATCGGAGATTTAAAAACCGGTTTGTGGTGCCATTTACCTTTTAAAATATTCCTAAATATTAAAAAAACAGATAAAAATGGACTGTAACATAACAAAACAAACAAATAATATTGAGTCGAAAAACAAAAAGATAGATAATGTGGATGATGATACCACCACGAGGTTTTCCCAAATAATGGGTGCAACTATTAAATAGAAAATTAGAAGAAAAAAATTTTTTTGTGTATTCACAGTCAATATAGAAGTATCCGTTTGGTGTGAAAACAAAAACTCATTGCTTCTTTGATTTTATTGACACCATGAGATTTATTTATTGTGGCCATTTATCTTATTAGCAACAACAAGCAATTTACCGTCACTGACACTAACTCATGGGGAATGGGTTAAGAAAGTGATATTAATTTACTCATACAGCCTTCATTCAATTTTCGAGAATATTTGAAGAAAATATACACACTGCATTTTTCAAAATGTATGGAAAGAAGGCATTCATATCCTACTATATTAAAGTGGCCTCTATATATAAGACTGCAGAATATTGCTTGAAAAGTGTATGATAGGGCAAAAAAACACTTTCCCTCAATTTTAAGAAACTCTAGCCTAAACTTTCTTATGTCATAATGATGTCCCACAGAGATAGACATACAAGTGGCAGTTTCAGTAGCTAAAAGGTGTCGTAAGGTTTGATTGAGCTCTTTCCTAAACATTCTAATAGCATAACGATGTCCTACAGAGATAGAAACCTAATTGGAAAAGTGGGTCTTTCAGTAGGTTTAAGGTATCACAACAAGTATAGGATTTGTTAAGTCCTTGACAAGGCATTAGAGGTCCATGTCTGTGCCACAAACTTCAACTTCCTGTTATAAACATTGACTGTTGATCATAATTTAAAATATATAAAACCTTAAAAATACAGGGTAAAACCCAGTTAGTTGGGTGGTCCGCCTAGCCAGGTAATGCCTTTGGAAAACTTGTAAATGAAGATGGAATCTATGTCTGAAAAGAGTTATGTCTCCCAACTGCCAAATAGCATATATCTGTTGTTAGAAAACAAGGGGCAAGCCGCCTAGCCAGAGAATGCCTTTGACAAACTTGTAATTGATGATGAGATCTATATCTGAGAAGAACGTCAGATTTTCTGCCACATAGCCTATGTCTCTTGTTAGACATCTGCAAAGTAGATGTTCAATCATCTCTGCATCTTCTTCATCTTCTCATAGCCTACAGAAGTCAGAAACACTGCTGTTCTATCTTAAGATCAGACATATCATACTGCAGTGACCAATCGGCATGCCTAACACGCTTCATCTCTCTGACCTCTATGTGATAGAATGGAGTTTGGTGGTGATTTAACAGTCTCTTAAATTGGTGGATCAATTCATCAGCAGTTCATTCTTCACTATATTGCTATGTACTGGGCCTAGGCTTAATATGCCCAAGTGTTTCATGGAGGGTTTTCTTGCAGTCAAGAGTAGAGTATTTCGGAATTCCAGCTACAACATGCGTTCCAAGGATATTTCCTTAAAATTACGATATTTTCTTCAAATTAAACCTACTTCGAAGTATTTCTTGTTTTGGAAAAGGTTTTTTTTTTTTTTGAGTAGGGCTTATGTGGTTATTTTCAAACTTCTCCACTTTCCTGGCCCTGAATACTGCATAATTATTTTACATTTTTTAACCTGAAAATAATAGATTTAATACAAATTTTATGTTGCCAAAATTCAATAAAATTATTACCTTGGTAATTATTAATCACTCCAAATATTTCCCTTTTCCAAAATGCATGAGTTTTTTATATTTTTGCCACCTACGATCTCTGATCTTCTAAATTTCGATTTTTCATCTTTTCGTGATCTACGATTTGACATTCTAAATTTCCTTCTACTATTCACTAAAAATCTTTTTGTGCACAAAAAATTCCATGAGTGGATCCTATAATACCCTGAGTCCCAATTCCACCCATTCATCAGGGAATTAAATTTGCCATCAAATTTTGATTGCTATTGTACAATTTATGACCTTAACAACTACCAATAATTCCCACGAGTATCACAACCCACTTGCAAAGCGATCGATCATTTGCCTAATTTCCAATAATCCCTCTATGACTTTCTATATTTACCTTAACAAATGATAAGTAATAACAATTAAAAAACACAATTGAAAACAGAATTCACATTACTTACCTGGGTATCATTATCAAATAGCTCAACAAACGCCTCAAATCATCTGGTTTTAAGCGATCCCGTTTGGGTGTTGCCGGAAAGCAAAGGATCGGACCACCACGTCTGTCCCTACCACCGGTAAGGAAGACGACGCGCTCCTGCAACAAGGTAAGAATGTCGCGAGCGCGTTGCCCGTCCATGATGGCGACGACGACAATGGAGAATTTTTGGTAATGATGTTAAATTTCTTCACTTCTCACGGGAAACTTTAGTCACTTGTTTCGATTTGTTTGGAATTTTGTTTGGGCTTTAAATTCTTGGAATCTTGATTTCACTTGGAATTTATGGATTTTTTTGTTTAATTTAATTTTGTTTTTATTTTCGTTATTCCTTATTCCCCTTTCTTCTTTCAGTTTAATTTTTTTCGTTATTTCATAATTAGTAAGTGTTTAAATTTGATATTGTTGTTGTTTTTTCAGTAGATTTTGGGACATTTCGTATATTTATTGATTTTTGCAAAATTTTGGCAAACATTTTCAGGGCCATCCTAGGTTGAAAATATTATATTAAGCTCTCGCACACTCACTGGCGGCACGGCACCGACACACAACAACAAACTACACGGAGAATAATTCGCAAACAAAACTTTTGTTTGGCAAGAACAGAATTGAACAGAACAGAACACATCACAACGGCGACGACAGCAGCAGTGCACATATAAAAGAGCACAGGCATCAGCAGGCAAAAAGTCATGACAAAATATTCACACACCAACAACACAACAACAAAAGTTAAAAGAAAACATAAAACAACGATAAATTAAAATCGCAAAATGAAAACAAAACTACACCACCAACCCAGCCAGGGCAACGAGACACAACCAAACCAAACATTAAGCGCACACACCGACAATGGCGCTGCTGTTGCTGTTCTGGCGACGTCAACGTCAAAGCACTGTCAGCAAGTGCGTGTTGTTGATGATTTCTTGCTCAGTTCTGTTTGTTCTTTTTTGTATTTTGGATATTATTGTTTTGTTTTTTCTTTTCTTTTTTAACTTATTTGGATTTGTTGGTTTGACGTTTGATTTACTTTTCAATTATAGCTTTCTTTTTTTTTCTCCAAAAAAAGAGACACACGCACACATTTTTTGCAATTTTTTGTTACTTATTTTCTTTACTCAATTAGTATTTCACAATTCTTCTTTCTTTGGAGTTTTATTTTTTGAAAACTAAAAAACTTGTAAATTCACTTCCATGCATGGCGTATGACTGTCTATCGTCCTACACTGACAACTGGATAATATTATTGGTGGCTTAAAAGACTACCACACATCACAACGACGACGACATTGTACATATGGGTGTTGGTACACAGTAGAACTCGGAACCAACTGCCAACTGACATTTGTTTGTTTTAAAATTCCACCCTCGTCTGCATTGTTTCCGAAATTATAACAAAATATCGGCACCGACTGATTAAAATTTTCTTCATTTAGGGGAAATTAATGAAAATATTTGGCCATAAGAAAAAAAGTCGGGGAGGGCGACCGAGCATTGCACCACCACCATACATATCATATGTCACAGGAAAAATTATACCGCATTTACCCACTCGCATTTGCACACACACTCTTTGTTCTTGTTTTCTAACATACGTTTAATGCTAAGCAAAAGGGGGAGCAGGAAGAAAACCATATTAAAAATCAATCAATAAATATAAACCACACTCGACACTCGGTTCAATTCTTGTTCAATGATAGGTATCCAACAAATAATAATTCCATTTCATATTACATTAGCAGGCCCACAATGGTAACAACACAGCGGCGCGGTCGTGGCTTTTGCTTAAAGCCCTCTTTTTTTACAGCACATTAAGTTTTTTTAGTTGACTGGCTGGCTGGCTCAGTTGTGCTGTATGGTGTTGTTAGAATAGGGAACTCAGACCTCTTTGAAATGAAGAAAAATGAAAGAAATACACGCACCACAAACACTCAACACACACACATGTACATAATTGCTAAGATTTTTTCTTTTCTTATTGCTTGTGGTGCCTCAAAAATTGCTTCTTCTTCTTTTGATGATGCTCATTGATTTTTTCTCTTCTTGCGGTACTACATTTTTCTTTTCACATTTTTCCGTATATTCGGTGATTGCATTTATTATACACTACCGCTTATTGCAAATTCACATTATAAATTTTATTTTTCAAAAGTATTTTTAAGGGGAAACTTCAAATTTTCCCATAATTTTTTAGTTTTTTCGCCACTAACTACTTCATCATGTCCGTTGAAGAGAAGAACAAAGCCGCCACTACCGCTTTTTTTGCAACGCCGTTCCAAGCAGACGTTGTCACTTTGAATTTTAATAAGCCGCAAAAGGAAATTAGTGGTAGACGTAACGGGCAATAAGGCAATGTAAACGAAATGTTTACGCATTGTAAAAATTAAATTAGTTGTAATCCATAATATTTTATGCAACCTGGGACTCAATCCTAGTTCAATAAATGTGTGAAATGAGAACTTTTACAATCGAAAGAATTGATACCGAACAAAAACGTCAAAATTATGTCTACAATATTGACTACCAAAAAGCTGATGAAAATGGTACAATACATTTAAAGGATATGTATGCTTGCAGATTTTTAAATGAATTTCAATAAAATAATAGTGCTTTTGGTATTATTTTTCAAGTCTTTGGAGTACGGAAAAGTGGCAAAACAAAGTAGAAACTAAACACATAGGTGTGAACCACCCTTATTAAATGTAACGGCGTCAAGTTGGCAACAAAATGACAGCGTTCTCACATGAATCATTCAGCTTTGTATTTCTCACAATAAAAAACCCAGGAAACACAGGAGCTCATCAAGTGCGTCAGATAATTTTTTCTTGGGATTAATATCAGGAATCATATAAGATTTTGTGCTATTTACCTAAAGCCAGCAAACTGTGGTTGAATCACCAGCACATTTGATATTTTCTCCAATTGACGTTGTTTATAAAAATTCGCAAAAATTCTACGTAAAATAAAATCAACTTTTCAGCATCGTAAAAACAAATCACGATTAAAGACCCCAAACCAGGAGGAGGAACCCCACCAAACGAAAAACGTAAATTTTGCATCAACAGCCACGGAACAAAAAGACCCAGGGATATTCGAGGAGGATACGGCCGGAAAGAGAATATACTCTAATCCGAGCGTATTGCGAGAGGAGGACAATCATAGAATAGCAACGACACCAATACCACCCCAAAGTAGCACACATCAGAGGACAGCAGTAGCAACAGCATCATATCAACAATTGAAACCAGCAATTAGTGATAGCAGCGGTAGGCGGCAAGAAATGGAAACCAATCTAAATAAGGTACTGAATCAGGGAGTACGTCATCAGTTAAATGGCTTGCTGTGCAAGTACACCAATGTAATGAAAGGTATGTGCTGGTCACCTGACATGGTGGATGTTTTTTCTTATTTTTATTTGTATCGACTATTTTAGGATGGCAGTACCGATGGTTTGCAGTGGATCCACAGAGCGGCATACTGAGCTATTATTTGTCTGATAGCACATCGGCCAATGATGATGTACCACCACCTTCTCATGTCTTAAATGGTTCCCCACGTGGCCAGGTACATTTGGCGGGAGCCGTTGTTTGTCCCAGTGATGAAGATTCGCGCACATTTTCTATCGGCTGCGCTTCCGGTGATACAATTAAACTAAGAGCCGCAGATGCTAGAGCTCGCCAAGAATGGGTAGATGGCTTGAGGGCTGTGGTGGAAAGTCACACCAAGGCCATGGATATTAGCAACTCAACGCCTTTGCCACCACGCGAATTGTTGGCTGCATCGGATGCCATGGCCTCGGCCCGACAAGCTCTATACTTAACCGAACAATGGTAATAGGAATTTTTCTAATAAGATTTTTTTGTTAATACTTTTTCTCTATTGTAGCAATGCTTCCCTAGCTCGAGCCATTGAAAATATCGAATGCGAAACATTTTCACCTACCGACCCAGATCTGTTGTTAATGAAAGCAATATCCACCGCCAGTACACAATGCCTACATCAGTGCCTGAGCTTGTTGCAGCGCCATCAAGAGATTCATACACCGCATTCGGAGACAACTAGTGTTAATTAGCGCTACACGGCTTGGCCCGTGAAGCAAACAAATCATGTTGTATAGCAAAAAGAGCCAACTCACTGTGGCACGACTAATTTACATTGATTTATTGTGTTTATTGTTAAATTTATTCAATGTTTTTTAAATCACCCTTTTTCCTATTCTCCTATAAAGCGAAACAAAAGTGCACCATTTATTCCTGCCCTTTGCAAATAATAATAAAATGTATATCATACATATATCATATAACAATGTAACAACCATAACATCATTCAACCATTCCGACTTGTCCAGATTTATATACCAAAAAAAAGCAATACGCTTCAAGCGCGTAACGATTGACAAGTTTTTACAAACTTATTGAATAACAATATTACGCCGATTGCAAAAAAAAAAACGTTTAAATAAAAAGCCTTCTGAAGTATTATTCTTGGTGTTTCATTTTAGAATAAAGTTTTCCTTTGAAGAAATATTGTTGGTTAATGCAAATTCTAGAACATTCCGAAGTTCAGAGAAGTCTGGCTAATACTGGAGGTATTGCTCAATCCACTCTGAGGACATTTTGTTATTATTGATGCGTATTAATTTGTTAATAACCGTAAAGATTGTTAGTGTCAAGAATACTCTACTGTAATAACGCCATTCAAGGGTATAACAGTCCCATCTCTGTTGTTCTGATCTGGGCAAATTAATTTCGTTCTAAGAATATTAGGTTTTTTTATTCACCGTCTTGCTTGTATAAAAAAATGCTAATTTTTTATAAATTGCTGATATTCTACCATAGGTTGTAATATTAGGCTTTGAATTTTGGCCTTTGAGTTTAAGCAGTTACATGAGTTATATGCTATCACCTCACTTTGCATGCCAATTTTTTGATCCCGGACTTTCGGGTCAAAAATCTGGGGTCCCCCAAGAAAAAAATAGTTTCCCGGGATCAGGGTAAAAATACCTACCTCTGGAAAGAATTTCAAAAAAATCGAAGAGTTTTTACTAAACTAGAGTTGTTCCCAACTTTTACATATATTTCTTCTTAAATCCATGTGTTAGCATTTCACTTTATGCAACAAATGTCTTGTATAAAGTATGGATTGGTATGGAACAACAGTTGTTCTTTCCTCACTATTTACACTTGTAATATATTTATTTTATCTATCAACCATAAAACACAACGGTTTTAGTCCATTAAAAGCTGAAGACTGAAATTAAATTATTGTGCTATCCATCATTTTATCTTTATGCAGAATAAGAAGAAGCATTTGTTTTGATTTATACACCCAAGATATACACCCTTACGGCGTTAGCAAACTTTTTTATCGTCTTTGGAGAAAACGATACAGCTCGTCACGCGGCTGTGTACAGCTGATTACGTTTTCCTTATGTCTCATTCGTAAACAAAAAAAAAAATAATCTGTAATTTTGCTTTCTGTTTAGCTTTTTATCGGGCATTTCTTGTCGCTTTCTTATTTGTTTCGTTTGGGACGTCTTTCTTTCTTGGTTGGTATAGTGACTTGACACAGGTCATACTGGAAAATACTCAGTTTTGTTAGTTTTGTAAAATGAGTAAACCAATTCCTCCGAATTCCAAGGAACAACATGGTGTTAATCCCCTTGTTTATGCAGATCCCAATAATTTGTATAATTTGGTTTGCAATATGCCACCGCCGCCACCCCCACCGGCTAGCATAAATACACCTCCTCCACCGCCACCACCACCAACGGTACCATATCCAGGTGAAACAACAAGCGATACTGGTCCACCTGCTAGCAGCGACCATACATCCGTCGCCAAAACCTATGAGGACAAGTATGACTATTCCAACAGCTATCCAGCAACTTACGATACTTATTCCACAAAGAGTTGGCAATCGGCAGCAGCTGTTCCCAACTATTCTCACCATTCCTATGAATATAGCTCCGAAACGAGTTATCATCGTGGACACAGTGATTATCATCATAGCTCATCATATAAATATCATGGATCGTATGGAAGTAATTATTATTCGTATGGAGCGACGACTGCTCCATCGCATTGCAGCTCAGCTTCAAGTTATCGTTATTCCTCCTCCTCCTCCTCTTCGTCGAGACATCGTAGTGATTATTATTCACGTAGCTCATCCTACAGTGGGTCGTCTGAACGATCATCCAAATCTTCCACATATGGTGGCGAGTCGCTACCCAGCAAAAGTGAAAAACGACCAAGAGTGCGTGAGGAACGCCCTGCAAAACCAGAAACCGAACGTGATCGTTTGCTTAGAATGTGGCGTTCTAATTATTGTGAAACACCGGAAGATATCCAACGGAAAATGGAAGAGTTGGCCGAAATGGATGAGGATACCCGAGAGGTATGGATACGATCTTCACCAGCCGATTTGTACTATCGTCGTACAAATGTGGTGCAGGAAGTTGAGGCCACCAAACGTTCGAATCTGTTGTGTGAGTTGTTTGAGGAAGAATTACTTAAACGTTCTGAACGGGTACGAGTCAAGTTACCACCCTATAATCCGCCGCCAAGGCAAACACGTCGCCGTGTCTGTAAACACAAATCCGAAGGATGTTCATCCTCCGATTCAGATTCATCGGATAATGAGGAGTTTAAATTGGAACAGGACAACTGTATGGAAGAGCTGTCGCGTAAAGTCCAACACCCATATCGTATACATGCCGATTTGTGGCACAACGAGGCGGGCGAAATGAATGATGGTCCCCTGTGTAGGTGTTCACAAAAATCGCGGCGAGTTGGTATACGTCATGGTATCTATCCGGGCGAGCTACGTTATCCCAAATGTGATCCGAATTCAAATAATGCCAGTAAATTGCATCATTATCGCATCACCATTTCACCGCCCACAAATTTCCTCACCAAAACTCCCACCATCATCAAACATGATGAGCATGAATTTTTATTCGAGGGGTTCTCATTGTTCTCCCATTTCCCATTGGGTGATTTGCCAACATGTAAGGTGATACGTTTCAATATTGAGTATACCATATTGTATGTGCCCGAGAAGATGCCGGAAAATTTCACCGTCAAGGAGCTGGATATATTTTGTGAGTATCAGGAATGACAGCTCCGTGGCCTTTAATTAACTAAATTTCATTTTATTTGGATTCCAGTTAAATACTTGTTCCATGAACTCCTCGAGTTGGTGGACTTCTCCCTGCTGCCCAAATCTGAGGATCCTGAAAACGACAGCTGTCCAGCTTTTCATTTCCTACCCCGTTTTGTACGCGACCTACCCGATAATGGCAAAGAAGTTTTGGCCATGTGTGAGGTTTTGAAATATCTCCTGCACAATGCTGGACCATTGGTGGATTCTCCTCTCTTAACAAATTTAACGCACACCCCACAAAGTGAATGGCAGGACTATGTGGATGATTTCAAAGGCATGTTGGCCACCAAGCCTGGCTATAAACCCAGTTCCATACGTGTAGATCAGCTGGATCGTAATGTGGCCGATTTGCCCGAATGCTATGACAAAGAAGAGGGGGTGTGCCACCCAGCCATTGTACACTTTGGCATACGGCCACCCCAGCTAAGTTATGCCGGTAATCCAGAATATCAAAAGGCCTGGCGGGAATATGTTAAATTTCGCCATTTAATGGCCAATATGTCCAAGCCCTCATTCAAAGACAAACGTAAATTGGAAGAGAAGGAGGCACGTCTGCAAGAAATGCGTACCCAGGGTAGAATGAAACGTAATGTCACCGTGGCGGTTAGTTCCAAGGGTTATCATCGCACGGGCATCATGTGTGATATTGTGCAACATGCCATGTTGGTGCCTGTGCTAAGTGGCCACTTGAGGTTCCACAAATCCTTGGATTTCTTGGAAGAGAAGATAGAATATAAATTCAAAAATAGATATCTTTTGCAATTGGCCCTCACCCATCCTTCGTATAAGGAAAATTATGGAACCAATCCCGATCATGCCCGCAATTCCTTGACCAATTGTGGTATACGACAACCGGAATATGGTGATCGTAAAATCCACTACATGAACACCAGAAAGAGAGGCATCAACACCCTGATCAATATTATGTCCCGTTTTGGCAAGGAATATGAAACCATGTCGAATATTACCCACAATGAACGTTTGGAGTTTTTGGGAGATGCTGTGGTGGAGTTTTTAAGTTCCATACATTTGTTCTTTATGTTCCCCGAACTGGAGGAGGGTGGTTTGGCCACTTATCGGGCGGCCATTGTGCAAAATCAACATTTGGCTTTGCTGGCCAAGAAACTGCATTTGGAGGAATACATGTTGTATGCCCATGGTTCGGATTTGTGTCATGAGTTGGAGCTGAAACATGCCATGGCCAATTGTTTTGAGGCCCTAATGGGAGCTTTATTGTTAGATGGTGGTATTTCCGTGGCCGATGAGGTGTTTATGAATGCCCTGTTTATGGAAGATGACCAGTTAAGGGAGATATGGAAAAAGTTGCCAGAACATCCTTTGCAGGAACAGGAACCCATGGGCGATAGAGATTGCATTTCCTCATATCCCATGCTACAGGAATTATGTAAATTTGAGGAATCCATTGGCATACAATTTAAGCACATACGTCTACTGGCCAGAGCCTTTACAGATCGTTCCATAGGTTTTACCCATTTGACATTGGGTTCCAATCAACGTTTGGAATTTTTGGGTGATACGGTTTTGCAATTAATATGTTCCGAGTATCTTTATCGTCATTTCCCAGAGCATCATGAGGGTCATTTGTCCCTGTTACGTTCGTCTTTGGTAAACAATCGAACCCAGGCAGTGGTCTGTGATGATTTGGGCATGACAAAATATGCCGTCTATTCCAATCCCAAGGCAGAATTGAAAACCAAGGATAGAGCCGATTTATTGGAAGCCTTTCTGGGAGCCCTCTATGTAGACAAAGGCCTGTTGTATTGTGAACAATTTTGCCATGTCTGCCTGTTTCCAAGACTGCAAATGTTTATTATGAATCAAGACTGGAATGATCCCAAATCGAAGCTGCAGCAATGCTGCTTAACTTTGCGTACCATGGATGGTGGTGAGCCGGATATACCGCTCTATAAAGTCATTGAATCTTCAGGGCCAACCAATACCCGTGTCTATACCGTGGCCGTTTATTTCCGTAACAAACGTTTGGCCACTGCCACTGGGTCCTCGATACAACAGGCCGAAATGAATGCCGCCAAACAGGCATTGGAAAATTCCAGAGATCTTTTCCCCCAGCTGGATCATCAGAAACGTGTCATAGCCAAAAGTATTAAAAAACAAACGGGACGTGAAATTAATCAAGACACGGAGGCGAATAGCAAGGATGAAAAGAAACCCAAGCATAAGCCGCACATTGCTGATGAATCACATTTGCCGAAGCAGTATAGGGAACGGGAAGATATATCAAGTGATGAGTTGCCCGAAGATGATGATGATCAGCAAGAGGGTAATGAGCTGGCAC